TCTCCATCCTGCCTCAGTATTTTTCTGATTTTGTGCTGAACACTGTTGCGCTCTTCTTTTAGAACTTTTCTTCTGGCAGGATCTGGCTCAGCATGGATGCGTATGTGGAGATCTTTTTGGTCTTGGGATAATTGTTTTATAGTTGGATTTGTGCTCCGAGTTGGCTTAGCACGCCGAGGTTGAATACCAAAAGACGTACATGCGGCACCATGTACAGTCGACACAAAACTGTTCCATAGAGTATCAATTTCTCCCTGCGATGACGGTGGTGGTGACTCTACGACGGGTAGTGACTCAGACAGAATACGTTGATATTGTTTCTGCGTGTCGGCAGAAGGCGGGTTATATGTTACAAAGCATCGGTGGTTGGTTTTTGGAGCATTGTTCGACTTCTTGAAAGAAAGTCGAACATCCGCGATTACTGGATGATGATCCGATCGGGTTATGAAGCCTCCGTATGACCGCGCGTTAGTGACAATTGACACGTCCGATTTCCGTACCATGATAAAATCTATCATGTTCCTGACTTGATTCCCATCGTTATGACACAAGCCATCAGCAAACCACGTTGCACGATGCTGCATGCGGTGCTTGAACATTGTGTTAGCTAGTAGCAGGAGGTGTATCTCACAAAATTCAATTAGACGGCTTCCATTGTCATTACTCATTCTGTGTTTTGAGTACATTCCTACTGGGTTCGATGAGCCAGCTGGCGAACTGCCTACCTTGGCATTCATGTCACCCAGTACCCACAAGACGTCACGACGATTAACATTTCCAACAGCTTTGCTCAGCAAAGAATAAAAATCATCAGCCTCAACAGGGTTAGCTGTGGAACGTTGTAGGGTAGGAGCGTAGCAGCAGATGATTGATACCCCTCTACTGTTACGACTTCCAGTTAGCAGTATCCGCAGCGAAACTACTCGGTTCGAATAGAATTGGTACGAATCGATATTTCTTACAATATTTTTATTGACGAGAATTCCTACTCCAGCTCTGGACGAAGTGCCTCCAGAACGATACAATGTGTGGCCATTGTCCAACACATCGATACCGTTGCCTTCCATCCATGTCTGAATCAGGCCGAGGACGTCCAGGCGGTAGGTATCAAAGTCCTGAATAATCTGTTGTTTTTTGATTTTAGTCCGCAGCGAACGAACGTTGAACGTGCCAACACGGCACGACGGCGCTCCAGCTCTTTCATGTCTCCGGTGAAAAACAAGCCCAGGCTTCAGGCTATCACTACTCATTTGTCAAAAAAACTTGGCTTAGACATAGTCCGAGGAACAGAAATACCCTCCAGAAGGAGAGCTGACGGGAGTTCAACCCGCCATCCAAACAAAGTGCTAAATATGCCAGATATAATGCTAGCATTATCCGCCGGGGCCTAGTATGTAGCGTATACTACGTTGTAATCATCAGCGGTACGGCGGAGTCTGGATACATCTGCATTGAAACGAACACAATGTCACAATCAAGTAGGCCTTTCACTCTCGAGAACTTGTGGTTTCACAACATTCTCCCCACCAAAGGGCTTCTCACCGCCGTACTACAATTCACGGGTCAAAAGCGACCGGGGCTCTGACTACACGCCCAGAACGAGTCATCCGCTGCTGTGGGGGTGGCCAAGGTGGAATATTACCAGTGCTCACCATTTCTGCAAACTGAGCAATGGTCTGCGGACTCGCGCACTTCAAATCAAGCTCTAACGTTGGCTTCACGAGAGCACATACCGGAATGACTGCGGAGCTACCCAGGATCGTGATGGCGAACTTGTCCATCCGCTGTTGGGTTGATTCCGCACCGGACGGCTTCACCTCAACATTAACACCAACGTGCTCTGCATCGATTGTGGACACCAATGCTGCAGTCACAGATGAGGCCTTGGCACCCGAGTCCAGCAACACGCGAAGCCTGCCGCTGTGGGATGTCACAAACGACACAATCACTGTGTCATTGCCTGGTGGGGCGGACGCTGGACCAGATGACACACATCCGATTTCCGTGTTCCACACAGTCTCGCCGTTGATCTCTTCCGTGCTAACCAGTATCACCCTTCTCAATTCCTTAGCTTCTACTCCTTGCGCCTCTACGTCTTGCGCCTCTACGTCTTGCGCCTCTACGTCTTGCGCCTCTACGTCTTGCGCCTCTACGTCTTGCGCCTCTACGTCTTGCGCCTCTACGTCTTGCGCCTCTACGTCTTGCGCCTCTACGTCTTGCGCCTCTACGTCTTGCGCCTCTACGTCTTGCGCCTCTACGCCTTGCGCCTCTACGCCTTGCGCCTCTACGTCTTGCGCCTCTACGTCTTGCGCCTCTACGTCTTGCGCCTCTACTTCTTCCGCCTCTATGTCTTGCGCCTCTACGTCTTGCGCATCTACGTCTTGCGCCTCTACGTTATGCGCCTCTACGTCGTTCGCCTCTAACTCTTGCGTCTCAACGTCGTTCGCCATAGAATCCAGCTGCTTCTGAGCGTCTCCGACCGATGTCGCCATGCACTGCACCGACCCAGTGGGCCTTGGAACTGATCCTCCCACTGGCTTCGAATACTCCTCTGACCGCTGCTTGTCTGTAAGCAAAGTCTTCCACGCCTTGTCCGGCGTCCTTTCGGGCGAGGCAAGCAAATCTCGCTTTGCTCCCTCATATTTACTGCTGGCGATGCGCTCGTTAATCTTCTTGAGCTTTTCGTGAAACTCTGTGCGGAGCGCACCCTCTTGTCGTCTAGCACTGCGCTCTTCAAACTCCTCGCTCTGTCGGAGCCTCTTCTCCACGTATTCTCTCAACCTATCGCCTTCAAATCCATACCGAATTCCGGTAGCGATAAAGCTGGCTTCAATAATCCATAGTTCCTGTGCCATGCTCGCTTCGTATCCTGGCGTGGTCGGCTATTGTTGTGAACCCTCTATTATTATTATTATTATTAGAAGCTTCTCCGCGTTGGCATCAATGCAATGTAGATATACACAGCATGTATAGCTTTCGCATAAGCCGAAGCGACAACAGCCAACAGGATATTGATGGCGATATAAAACATATGCGATATAAAACGCGTGACGAAAATAGAATACAATTAAAACAAGCAAACGAGCAGCTCAACTGAGTTGAATTTGAACTTGCTGATCATTATCAGGGTTCATCTGTGAGCAGCAACATATCTCTCCAGGATACGGCCGCTGAGGTACCCTCTGGTTCTCTAAAGTGTCAGGAACGAACGACCCCACACGGCACGAGGACAACTATATATTCTCAACAGTATATTTCACTTCCATCGACTAACAACAATGAACAATGAATGAAAAAAAAATGAAAAAAAAGTGATCGTATGGGAGTCGGACACTCTGATTGGGTGAAGGAGCAACAGGATGCGTTACGCGTTGCTAAGGATGCTATTGTGGCGGCTCAGGCGCGGCAGGCCTTGTATTCGGACAACACTCGTGCCCCCAGTACTATAAAGGTTGGTGACCGTGTTCTGGTCTATAGGGATTTCCTCATTACTCCCGAGGCGCGGAATCAGCCGTCCCTAAGCTGCGTTCCAAATGGTATGGTCCATTCCCTGTAACTGAGAAGGTTGGTGCCAATGCCTTCCGGTTGCTACTTCCTGCCAATATGCGTTGTCATCCGGTGTTTAATGTGTCAGCTCTGAGGCGGTATGAGGAGAACTCTATACCACGACGGCAACAGCCGCCTCCGCCGCCAATAACGGATCTGGACGGCAACACGCGTTGTATTGTAGACGCGGTCGTCGATGAACGGAAACGGAGGGGCCGCATGGAGTATCTAGTTCAATGGCGTGGCTACAGTGAGAACACCTGGGAGCCTATCGAACATTTTTGGACGAGTCTAACAAGGAAATTATTCCGCTGCAGAGCTACTTGAAAACAATGCGTCGTCAATAGCCGCCTTTCCTGCGTTGAGTATTACTTCCTACCATATCTTGAATTGCCTCTTGTGTTAGCAATTATTTTCGAACCAATAATATTGATTTACTGGTATTTATAATGCTTACTTACTCGTGTTTAGCCCGGCTCACCTTTGCTGACGAGGGGGGTGGTGTAACAGATTCACACACTCACACTGTGCATCCTACTACACTTTCCCACTTACGTTGTGTTACATCACACCTGTGTTGCATGTTCACCTTGGATTACACTTCTGTCCCATATAACCTCATTGATGGTATAATAAAGTCGTTCTACTCTTGATCCTGAATCGCTCTGGTTGGACGGTTACACTCTGGCGCTAGAGCGACGAGCTATCTTAATGTCTGTGGTGCCTCCTTTGCACCATGGCTGGTAGCTCGGCCTATTTAGCTCATAGCTGTACTGATGAGACCTTTATGGCCGAAACAGCTTGCTGTCTACAGCATTGGGTATCACGCTCCTCGGCTTTCGCCTTGTTGAGCACTCTCAGTAGCTAGGCTGCTCTAGTGCTGCTGCATCGCGCAATGCCCGCAACTTTTGTAGTTTGAGCTATCTGGCGCTAGAGCGACGAGCTATCTTAATATCTGTGGTGCCTCCTTCGCACCATGGCTGGTAGCTCGGCCTATTTAGCTCGTAGCTGTACTGATGAGGCCTTTATGGCCGAAACAGCTTGCTGTCTACAGCATTGGGTAACAAAAATATTATTGAAAACCCAGAATCGATTTTCTCGTTCCTATCATCAGTGGGAAAACGGAACTAA